AAGGGGGGAAAAAAAAAAAAAAAAAAGGCATGCTTTAAAGCCTAAAATGGAGAGTTAGGTAGGACCAAAGCCTTAAATATAGGCAGAGTTGAACAGTGCCTTTTCTTTTTTTTTTTTTTTTTCCAGTGAAGAATTGGATTGGATTCAGATTCTATTTAGCTGCAAACTTTTTAAAATCCAGGTTATGTACAGTAAAGGAACGAAGTATTCCAGTAAAGTGTGTGTGGCTGGTTTTTGGTATTTAAACAGATGAGAACTGATTTCGAATCTTTTTTAGCTTAAGCTAGAAGACTACAAGGATCGCTTGAAGAAGGGTGAAGCCCTCAATCAGGACCAGTTGGTGAGTGGGTCTTTGTTTGTTTGTTTAAGTTTGAAAACTCTAAACATGTTAGAAGGCTCAAGTTAAATAGTACTAAAGTGCAACATTTGTGAAGCAAGTTTTACTAAGTACTGTCTCAGCCATTATTAAGTTGTCTGATAGTAAAACCCAATAGGCCTGCTTCTGATTCAATGTCAAAATGACAGTTTAAGTGCCTATTAATGCCTAAATGTTTTGTTTTGCTTTAACTTTTAAATAGATTGTTCAAAAGAAAGTACCGTTTTGAAAGACACCCTCTCCAGATATTGTTCTCATAGCATCTTGTGTTAGCCTTCTTGATCTGCAGTTCCAGTCTTTGAATAGGTATATGCACTCAGCTTTTCTATGATGAGAAGTTATCATATTACTATAAATGAGGCTTGTGTTCTGATGATAAATGACTTGGCACTTGAGGCTGATGGAGATAGTCATGTTTAATGTTGACTGGTTATGATGATGACCCTTAATGTAAGTGTGGTATTTAACATTAATTTAAAGTAATCTAACTTATCATTCTAGATATATTTTTGTATTGCAGTACAGCACTTCTGAGATCAGTAGTTGAGTACTGCCCCAATATGATCAAGTACAGAGGTTCCCAAACTTTTTTTTCTTATAGCATACCCCCGTCCAGACATACCAGCTGCCCACATACCCCTACCAGCATACCTTTTTTTACTTTAGCCCCTTAAATGTGTAATGGCAGTTGTTAATTTCTATTATAATTGGCTGTTTCTCCCACATAAACCCCCTGATTTGGTACTGTCTTCATGGATGGAGATACAACTTGACTTTATTATGTGGAAGCTAAAAGCCAAGTGTTTTTGTTACAGGAAGCCATTAGAATCACTAAATTGATGTCTCATGCTTTCCCTGTATCATCAATAGAAGGCTGAGAAATAATCCCATGTATATCTTACGAGGTTTTTTTTTTCCTGTTAATTGCCTCTGGCATCTTTCTGACTCTTTTTTTTTTTTTAAATTCTGTAGTAGTCAAACTTCTGGAGTTCCATAAACATGCAGTAGGAAAACTTCATACTAGTTAGAGATGACATGTCATGACATTGGCCTTAAATTTTAATCAAAATGGTTACAGAGTAGTATAAATGCAGGCATTTATTGGCTGGAAATAGTGCATTTTCATTGCTTTGCATTGAAATTGATCCTTGAAGTATCTTTTTCTTTTTTTGTTGTTTTTGTTTCTCTTGTTTAGAAAACAAAAGCCTGCATTTCATATATTGCTGGGTAACAGGCTTGTCTTCTTTTTTAATTTTGTATATTACAGTGGGGTAAGAGTAAGGGGAACATCATAATTCAGGGCTTAAACTAGATCTTCTGGCTTATACTGGCTGAATGATTCAAAATCATTCTTGTGTAGTACACTGCTATTTATCAGATATCCTTTAAAATGAGTGTGACAAAGGCACTGGTGCTGTCAGCCTTCATGTCAGTGGTTACTATTACTAAACTGCTGCTGCTTGGCTCCCACTGGCAAGTATTGTGGTTTTAAGAACATTTTCTATTCCAGTGTGTCTGTCCACTGTATATTGCACTGTCAACACGCAGTTCTTGTTCTCAGTTGAATGCACTACAGGACAAGCAATAACTAGAGGGTGAGGGGAAGAGAAGCAAGCTTGCTTGCTTTATAGTTTAAGTCTGCTAGAGCAGTGGTTCTCAACCTTTTTGTTGTACTCATGGCCCACTTGTAAACATCAACAGCCAGTCCTGGCCCAGTGCCCCTTATTCCTGACGGTTTCCCACATTCTTCTCCTTTAAAAATGGATTTTCCTTTAAAAGTAGATTAACAAGCTTTAAAGTTTGTCTGCTACCCTTTCATATATTCTTGTGACCCACTTTTGGGTTGTGACCCATGGGTTGAGAAGCACTGTGCTAGAATAAAAAGCCATCTAGCATGCACCAGTAATTGGGACTGGTACACCTTGAATCCACTGCTGCTTCTGTATCTGCCTTGGTCTCTAATTTTTTTGTGATTAAACTAAATTGATAAAATTTCATCTATAGAAAGAAATGTAGATCTCTGAATTGGAAAAGCTTGATGGGAATTAATGCTCGTGAGTTGGATCCCAGGATTTGTTGAGTATCCTCTATTTCCACTGAGCCTAGTGGGACCTTGAACAAGTTTTAGCTCTGGCAGAACCATAGCTCTTCTTGCTTACTCCTGTAGGAGAAGTCTGTAGTAGACTTCTGAGTAGTTCTGATAAGCAAGAGGCTATCTAGATGGGGAATAGCAGATGCTTCTTTCCTTTTTTTGATCTTGCATATGGCAGCATTGAATCTGAAGTGACTAGACAAGTGAAAGCAAACTCACTGCAAACTAAATTGATAAGTGGAGTCCTTTTTTAGAAGCTACACCAGTGTGGAAGGTTCAGTACCTTCCACCCCCACCATGCTTTAATTAAAAGATACTTCCATGAACATTGACCTGTTACATCAGGGGTGGGCAAAATACGGCCCATGGACTGGATCCACCCCACCAGGCCATTCTATCTGACCTATGGAGACCTTAAAAAAAACTTAGAAAATATTTATTTGCTTCTGGCTACCTGTCAAAGATGACAGAAGACAGGGGCAGTAGGACCCAGGGGGAGCCATTAGCAGGACACAGCAGCCCAGCCCTGCACCACTGGCAACCATTTTTCTGCCTTCATGCCCCCACACTGTTCCAGCACCACGTGGCTCCCGGCTACATCTCTGGGCACAGGAGCATGGGGCTGTGGGAGACCAGGGACTGTGTTCATAGGGTGAGCCATACATGCAGATCCCCCTCACACAGCCTTACATGCAGACTTATACCTACCTCCTACACACAATGTATAAGAGTAAGGCTTAGTTTTAAGTTATTGTATACAATCACCTCTGTACACTACACAAATGCATGTAAACCGTGACAAGTATTTTTTTTAAATCAAATTTAACGAATGTTGTAGGTGTTTGCTTTTTAGAATTTAATTTGGTATTTTTCTGGTTCTAAGATGCCCCTGGAAGTACTCCTTTCAGCAAGGGTTTTGCCTTCTGGTGGCAAAGGTCAAGGGTTAGGAGGCAGGACTTCCAGTCACAAGATGAAAGCCAGGGGGTGGGGCAACATGGCGAGAGCAGCAGGGGTTTTTGAATAGCCGGTGCAGGAAAGACCCTTGTATATCTGGATGGCATGGTGCTGTTCCTGTTTGGCTTCTAGGATCAGGTGGCACAGCTGCTTCTGCAGTATCCTGGCACCTGGCTCTTGCAGTCATGTGGCTTCTCTAGATCAGTGGTCTCCAAAGTGGGGTGCATGCACCCCAGGGGGTGCACAAGATGATCCATTGGGGTATGGGAAGAAGATATTATAACTTATATATATATAGGGGGTGTGTGCTCAAAAATTTTTTACTGGTAGGGGGTGCGCAATCAAAAAAGTTTGGAGACCACTACTCTAGATGAGCTCCCACAGTCTGCGGGGGAGGGGGCAGGGCCTCTCCAGATATGACTGGCTCACCTCTGCCCTGCCCTCACCCCTTCAAACTTTGTCTCTGTTGCATGTTATGATTAACTTGCATCATGAGTCGTGTGTTCTTAAACTGTCATTGACAAATCACAGCCTATGAATGTGACTTAAGGCACAACTGAAACCTGTTCTCAAATTTAAGCACATGTGATTCTAAATCTAATACATACTTACTTGCGTATATTCTTGGTCATCAGATTTTGCGACTGAAGAGAGAACACCTAAAATCTAAAGCTCCTAGTTCAGATGCTATAGCTTGTTACGCTGTTCTGATAACATCCTTTCAGTTGAATAATATAAAATAGAGTTAATTTCACACTTAGCATGCTTTGGGTTCTCAGTTAAAACCAAGAGGATGTCAGTGGGAAATGTTTTAGGAATAACTACTTCCAAAGTTCTCATGGAATTTTAAAATGGATGTTTCACTTTTTTCATTAAACTCATTTATAGTACATTAAGTCTGTGGCTTGCCTAATGTCTGTATAGATTGGGTACTTTAGTTGGGGTGCTTTTATCTAATAGCTGATTGACTCGGCTTTAGATAAAAGTTGCCAAAAAGCCCCACTGAAGTGCCCAATCTATACAGATGCTGCAGAGCTGGGTTGAAGCTAACATGCTGCTGCTTCTGGTAAGTGCACTTCTGTGTTTTTGTTCTGTTTCTTAATCTCTGCAGGCAGTTTGTGTCTTAAACCATTGTCTCCCAATATGAATTGACTTGGAATTCAAGTCTTCACTTTGTTTGAGGATGGAAACAATAGGTTTTTAATTAAGTTAGTTAAATTATTTTTTCTTTTAAGAGCATATAACAAAAGCTATATAACTTTATGGTATTAATGGTTGTAATCAATAACCTTCTGAGAACTTTTGAAGTGACTGATTCAAGCTACAAAGCAAGCAGTTCACTTAACCTGTATTTACCTACTTGTAGGAGGCAGTGGAGAAGTATGATGAGGTAGTGCACAACCTGGAGTTTGCCAAAGAGCTTCAGAAGACTTTTTCTGGACTTAGCCAGGATGTAAGTATAATTAGCTTTAATTGCTCAACCTGTTAAGTTTTTTTTTTTTAAACCTACCATTTTAGAAGCTCTTGTGTAGCAGCAGCATGTTTAATCTGAGAAGGTGAAGCTGGTGGTCCTGATTTGTAGATCATTTTGGAATGTATTCTTAAATTACTCCAATATGCAGAATCAGTAGAATGGCTTTACAGTTTTTTCTGAGAATCTGAAATTTTGTTTGCAGTAGTGAAAATGTAGTTAAGGTACAAGATAATTTGAGTTGTACATGTTCCATAGCTAGAAGAAGAATGATTTCAGAGCATGTGGAGTCCCACAAAACTACTAGTCAAATGCACTGTGTACAAAATGCAGTGAATCTCAGCAGGCTTTTAAGCATGTTCTGGTCTGGGTGTGTTGATTCAATCTGTAGAATAACCATCCTTTTGACAGGAGGTTTTGAACTTGAGTTCTATAGGAATACCTTCCATGGCCTGTGAGTAGAGTTGATTGGGTACTACTCTACCATTTTCTCCCTCCCTTTAAAATACAGGACCATTTCAAATGGGTGTTGCCTGTTGGCTGGGCCCAAATCATTCCAGTTAGACATTTTTGCACTTGTACCTACTGAGTTCTGTTTTCCAGTTCAAAGTTCTTGTCTTTCCCACTAGCTTTGGGATTAAAATAAATTGAGAGCAGGATGAGACCCTTCTTTAAATCTTGGTGGCTGCAGTAAGTTTAGTGTGTAGTACTATTGGAAGTGCTGCTGTATCAGCTCTCCTTACAATATACATCTTCACATCAAGAATTTTTGTTCTTGTTGTTGAGGAGGGCTTTCATGTTTTAAGAGTATGAACTGCTTTACTTTCCTCCAGTATACCTCTAGAAAGTACGTAGTATTATATATTTTAACCTGTCTGTGTTGTTCTTTAGCTTGTAGCACAATTGGTGACTGGGTGGGTTGGTTTGTTAGTTGGTTGTTTCTTAGATTCTGCAAAAAGCCGCAACTTTTTTTTTTTTAATGTTTCAAAATGACTGGATGCAGGAGGATCTTTTTTTTCCCTCCCCATGTATGCAGGGTAGTGTTCCTTTTTTTACTACAGGCAAAAAAAAATCGCTTTTTAAACACCATTCCTTTCATTTATCTTGGTTCATTTTTAGTACCTGAGAATTCTTGCAGTATAGCTGGATGTTGGTTTGCCAGGTTGGTAGAGGAGCTTTGCTATCCAGTAAATAGGAGGTTTAGATATTACCTAAACCTCTCATGAACATGTGTTTTGAATAAAATGCTTTAGTAGTTTGTGCTAACAAAGTGTAGCAAGTGCTAGTCCCCAAGGGTGGCTGTGAAACCTCCCGGTGGCCATGGAACCAGTGACCTGCTCCGCCTCTAGTGTATCCTTTCCTTCTCACCTGTTACATCTTGATGTAACTGTTGATGTTGAAAAGGGAGGCTGCCTAAGGGTCCTAAAGTGAGCCCTCAGTTCTTCTGACAGCCAGCAGGTCCCACCCAGACTTCATGGATCTTGGCCCTACTTTCGGGACCTCTTGGCTTGCTTGTGGGCCCTCTTGCCTTGCTCATATGCTTCAGGTTACTTGTAGATTTAAGGGCTGTTTATGGCCTCTGAACTTTCCCTACAACCATGCCCATGCCTTGCACATGGGGTTATAAAATTGCTCCCTTGGCAGAGGCTGAGAAGGCCAAGGCCCTGACCCTTTTTTGTAGTTGGGCTTTCTAGCCCAGTCCCACTGTACTAGATGTGGCTTCTGGGCACCAGCTCTTATCTTGTCTCTGCCCTTTTTTAGGTGCTGAACCTGCTTTGGCTCCATCTGGGCGCTTTGGCCCTACTTTGGCTTTGCTCTGGGCAGTGAGCCTGTTCTTGGCTGTCTGGGCCACCCCAGTTTGGGCACCGAGCCTGTTTTGGCTGTCTGGGTCCCCTGGCCCGATCTGGCTTGAGTTGTGTTTAGCTGCAGTCCACCCCTAGGTGGCAACCCTATAAAGCTCAAGCCAGGTCTTTGTCTTGAGGCCCTAATCCATGGCAGGACTTCAGGCATACTTATGCCGTCATGTAAAGCTGGGACCTCTACCACCTGTTGTCCCAATCGCAAACTATGGGTATAAACTATAACCAAGGAATAAGTCCTCTGGCTATAACAATTGATCTGGGTCAAATATAACCAGTGGCTGCCTGGCTGTACAACAGGGTTTCCTTTTATCCTGGGTCACATTGCTCTGCAAGGCAGGAGCATTGTTTGCCTCCCTCAAGGTAGCATGCGTGCCAGCTAGCAGCTCTCATGGACCCTTGTGCTTCGGAGCTGCTTACTCTGCAGCCTCCAGGGCTGCTGTGTAGGCTCAGTCTCTGAGCTTGTACATGTTAAGCCCTGCCTCCTTCCAGTTGTGTGACTTCCCTAGGCTGGCTTCAGGTGTGCTCTTTACCTTGATAAGCCACTTGCTGCTTAAGTAGCAGTGTCTCCTTGCTGCCTTCCCTCTTGCAGCTGGCTCCTGTTAAGCTGTTTGGGCTTTAGTTGCTGCAGTTTCTCCCCTTAAAGTAACAGGAGTTTTAACTTCCCTGTTACACCATTACACTATAATTACTCCGTCGGTATCCTGACAGTGGATACACAAGATCCTTGAGGAGTTTATAAGTGAAACGTTTACAAGGAAGTTTACAAAAACTTCCTTATGTGACACTTGCATCCCTTGTGTAGCATGTACAGAATTCCCTGTTAAGCATGTAATGTGTTTAAAGCCTAGCTAAAAAGGATGAACATGCTGTGGGGAGATTACTTAATGAATTATTCACAATCTATAGAATTGATAATATTGAAATAATGGAGGCGTACTTAACTGCTAACCTTCCTAACTTTACAAACATGGGCATCTTGGTTAAGTGTCTCCTTTAAAGGAGGCATAAGCTTCAAGTTCTAGCCACTTCTAAATTTCTATTTAAATACAGGCTTAGAGCTGGGAGAGACTGGTTCAAAAGCATATAGGTGCCTGGAGATTCAAGTTTAACTTGCTTAAGGTTTTGCCTAAATCCCAGTAGGCATCTATTCTCCTCTTGAATATGGTCCATAGTTTATAACTTGTAGTTTCATTACCCATTCAGTTGTCAACTGAAGAGGCTATGACTAACTTATTCTTGCAATATAACAGCTGCTGAAAGCACAGAGGAAGGCTCAGAGACGGGAGAACCTAATAAAACTTGAAGCAGAGAAGAAGAAGCTGCGCACAATTCTGCAGGTCCAGTATGTGCTGCAGAACTTTACTCAAGAGCATGTTCAGAAAGACTTCAAAGGTGGCTTGAATGGTGCAATATATTTGCCTTCTAAAGAACTAGACTACCTCATTAGATTTGCAAAACTGACGTGCCCAGAAAGAAATGAGAGCCTGAGGTGAGTTGAAGTCTTCGTACCTAAACATACTTTATCAAGCATAAAATGAGTGGTGCATTTTACTTTTGAGTATTTGGGGTTATAAATCTCAGAACAAAAATAGTGTGTTTTTAAAACTCGGGTCTATTAAACACAAATATGGTGTGTTGGAAGAGCTGGACAGCTAGCTTGGGGTTGAGCTTAGGTTGCTTACCCTGGGAGCTGCATCTGATCCTTCACTGAAGTTCAAGACTTGGAGGGGGTGGAGAGGGATGGTGCTAAGCAAGTTGGAGTGGAGGGGACCGACAAACCTCCTCCCCACCCCCAACCAGCCTGCCAAGCCACTCTAGCTTTCCCCCTGCAGGGAGCATGCCCCAGGGTAAGTGGCACAGCTGCAACCCAGCACCTGAGCCGACAGCCCTGCAGGGAGTGCACAGGGTGCACGCCCTGTGGGGAAAGCCAGAGTGGTGGGAGGTGCTGGGCTGCACTGTCCTCCGGAGTCAACTTGGGAGAAAAGTGAGCAGAGCATTGGCCGACTTATGGTGAGCCACAAATACTGTGCCAGTGAGCTGCATGTGGCTTGTGAGCCAGTTTGGCCACCGTTGAGCTAGATGTTCAGAATTGGGTGCCATTTCTGATTCCCCAGTAATGCATGTGTTTATGCTGTACAGGTTTTCCTTTATGCAGGTTCTTTATGTGCAAATTCACACTTATGATATGACACTTTTATACCAAAAATTATTATATGTGAGGTAAATTCACTCTTATGCATTCAGTGTGGTGGAAGCCCACAGTCAGCTGCTTTGCGTGGTGCATCATGGGAGTGATGCACACCAAAATATAGTCTCCTGCATGGATCTGTGCTCCCTCACTCATTGTCTGCTACACACTTCTGTGGCTGCCATCCCCATTTTGGCTTCTAAGCATCCCACTAGCTTATCTCCTAACCCTTTCCCTGGTCCATCAATGAAGCCTTCACCACACTCTCTTCACACCAACTAAACATTCACCACCACCCTGTGCTTGTGTGTACTGTCTGCTGTTGGCAAGTACCAAAATTGTCTTGTAAAAGTGGTAGAAATGTGTCTGGGAGTTAGTACAGTTAGGGTCTTAAAACATATCTGTATTTGTTACATTGTAAAGTGGGTTCCCTTTATGCAAATTGGAGTTGTGCTGTTTTCCAGGAACATATGTACAACATAAAGCGAGGGAAAGCTGCGTAGTAATCTTCACTCTCTACCTAATCCTGTCAATCTGGGACCTCCAGCACAGGCCCAAGGCCTTGTCAGGCAGGGCCAGTCCAGCCCCTGCCATGTGAATCAACTCTGCAGACTCAATCTTTTGATACCCCATGCACCAACAAACTAGTGTGTGTGTGTGTGTGTGTGTATATATATGTATATGTGTGTATATATGTGTGTGCGTGTGTGTGTTATAACATTTTCCCTTGCTAATAAGGGTCTTGTGGGGGGAGAGGATAAGTTAGAGTATTCAATACACAACGAAATGCTTGAATAAGGTTTTATTAGCCTGAACTATCTGGAAAAAGAGTTAGGCATGAAGATCACATTTTTTTGTTAGCATGAGTTTTGAACTTATTACCCAAGTAGCAGTAGTAGCAAGAACTTAAGCTTCATTCCACATGAACTATACCCACCTAGAACTGCATTGGTATTAATGAAAGAGTTCAGCTGAATATGCAGAAGCACCATACAACTGGATGAGAGCGACTGATGCCATTGTTAAATAACAGCTCTCAGACAAAGCAAGTGAGACCATGTGACCTTTGCACAACCCAGTGTCTAATATTTTAGGACTGGATTAAGCAGTGTTGGTTTTTTGCTTTGTTTTGTTTTTTTTTCTTTTTAAGCAGGAACCCTGTACCTTAGGCCAGTGGTTCTCAGCCTTTTTTGTACTAGGGCCTATTTGTAAACATCAGTGGCCAGTCCCAACCCAGTAAATAGTTTAAGAAGAAAACAACCCCATGTCCTTCCCAGTACCCCTTGCTCAACCGTGCCCTCTGCCCCCACCCTGGGACACAAGCCCCCAGTGTGTGGGACAACTGGGAGGGCATGAGGGAAAATGAACACCCCCCCCCCCCCCCCCCAGATTTGTGCATCCAGGGGACACTGGCTGCAGCCTGGCTGGACTGGCATGAGCAGGACTGGCCTACCTGGCTGGCCTCCACAGCCTAGTAGGTAGGACAGAGCAGGACAGCAAGACTTGCTGCTGCTGCTGCCAAGACCCCCCACATCAACCATGCTGCCAGCAGCACAAGGAATAATGGATGGAGAGGGGAGGAGGGCATGCTGTTCTCATCTCTTCCCACAAAAGTTTGTTCACAGCCCTTTCATAATCTTCTTGCAATCCACTTTTGGGTCACAACTCACGGGTTGAGACATGCTGCCTTAGGCAGCCAATGCCCATATCAGAAATGGGTTACAGGCTTAGTTGTACTTTTGGCTGCAGGAAGTCACTGCATGCTATTCAGGAGACAGAGGAAAGCCTGGTACTTTTAAACAAACATTTTTTTGAATTTGGTGCCTTCTCTGCTCTTCCTGAAATAGAGGCAGAGTATTGCTTTGAATATTGCCACATAACCTGCCTAATGAAAAGCACTGCCAGGACTGGGTACAGAGTGAAGATTACTATGCAGGTTTCCCTCACTTTGTGTACTATATGTACCACAACATGATGCATGCCCCAGACCAGCTCTGTACAGCTGGCAGTGTGCACTGGATCTGGCATGTGGGATTTGGGGGCAGGTTTCTGGGCCTGATCTGGCCCATATGACTGGACATGCACCATTTGTCTTGCCTGTAGACCAGCCCAACCACTCACTTGGCTCACTGGGCTAGATGAATTTGATCCCCTGTGTTAATGGGATGTAGGGAATGTATTGTAATCCTGTTTGCATTTCTAGATTGGATTTGTGTGTGCGTGTGTCTCTTAAGGTTCAGCATCACATTACAAATGGACTGATGTTTTAGGGCCTCTCAGAAGCCTCTGAGTGCTTCCCAGACGCTTTCCTCGGCATGACCCCTCATTCCCAACCCATAGACCCTGCACCCCCATCCCAGCAGCGCCAAGCCCCGGTTGTCCTCTGCAGCTGGAGTTGAGCCTGGTTCCCATTCTCCCTCTGCCATGGACAGCACAGCCAGAGGGGAGGATCTGTGCTGCCTGCTGTGGGCTCAGGTCCTGTGACCCAGTGGGCAGGACCTGGCATAGGAGGGAGCTCTGTGTTGCCATGGCTACCCTGTCTGGCTGGCAGCAGCAGGGTCGTAACATCACACTGCTGCCAAACTTCACCTTGGCAGCTATGGTGGCATAGCGCTTCCTTCCAGCTGTAGAGGCAGCTTCTGCCCGGAGTTGGTCTGGCCCAGCTGTACCCCTATGCCTTGCTGAGAGTGCAGAAATCTTGGGGTGCATGTTGCCCCCCACCACATTACCATGGTCTGTGCTGCCTGCCCCCCTCCCTGCCGCATTGCCTGTGCCCCCTCCTTACCTGTGCTCTGCTGCTTGGCTGCCATGTGCACATGCATGAGGTGTTCCCCCTGCCTCCAGTTGCCTACTCCCTTGCAGACTGGAAATCAGCCAGCATACCCAGAGAAACCATCATTTCCCCATACTTTTTCTCCTTTAAAAGAAAGATCTGTGGCTTTTCTCCATTTTTAAAATAGAAAATCTGTTTTTCAACAGGAGGTGGAAAAACCCAGGGGCACTTATACATGTACCTTTTTGTCCTGCAATGCGCTGGAGATCTGCTGCTTCAGAGTGGACTCGACTTAATCGAGTCTGCTCTTCACATGAGCTGACGCATAATCTGTGCCTCATGCAGTTGTATAAGTGGCGAAGAGCACATCATTGTGCAGAAAATGGCAACGATGCACTTCTGAACTGGAGCACCTCAGGTTCAGAAGTGCACCGCTGCCACTTTTTTTCATGCTGATGCGTATTTTGCCACTTGTACAACTGCATGCATCGCAGCACCAGGTGCTTTTCAAAGCAACCAGTGATGTGGTGCTTGCAAATGTTTAAAAAACAAACAAACTATGGATGCCTGCTTATTGTGACCCCATCCACTGATGTTGCCACCCACAGTTTGGAAACTGCAGGTCTGAGTCCGTATGCTACAGTGTGGTTTTGGCCTGTAACTTCTGAGCCAGGAGAAAATGATTCATATGCTTGTTTCAAGACTCAGATTATTAATGCTCCCTGCTTCCCTAAACCTTGGATTTGTCACTGGTATCCTGGACTTGAGTATATCTTCTTCTCAAGACAATTGACAGGTCAAAGCTGCAAAGGCTTGGTAATCTAGACAGACTGTTTCGATAGACTGCAAATGGGTTTATTTGGCTTCAAGCTTAGAACTGCTGCTGGTGGATTCATGTCTTAGCTGTGGTATAATATTGATGCATGAACACTTAGATCACAAAGGGCAACTTCTTAATATACACTACTAGGTGAAGTCACCAGCTTTCTGACTTCTGTAGTGGTAAGTCTGTGGCTGCTGTCTTAAAGTACATTTTACAAAGAACTATTTTTGTTGTCCTTTCTTTGTATAGCCATAGCACCTAGACATGGTTCTGGATCTCACTTGTTCTAGGTGTTGCATAAAGAGAAATTGATTTGGGCAGTTTAAAAGTGCCTTGGTGACTACTTCAGTTGTCAGTAACTTAAGTTTGTTGCTTTAAAGTCCTGGGAAGCAGCATGCCTTCACAGTGAATGTTTCTGCCTAAAATGAAATTACTAGTGAAGTCTTTCCTTTGGTTTCAAGTGTTGAAGACCAGATGGAGCAGTCATCACTCTACTTTTGGGACCTTCTAGAAGGCAGTGAAAAGCCTGTGGTTGGAACAACATGTAAGTTTCTCTGGTTAAATATGAAGTCCATTATGTGGCCATCATGTAAAGTTTCCTGTAAACACTGAAATACTTGGCATTTCACACTTCCAAATGATCATAACTGGAGGTCTAACAGCATGCTGCATATAGCTCTTGAGTGCTTGTTGTGGGCTTGGAGGACTAATGCATGGGTTTTTGGTTTTGACTTGGTCTGGGATATTAAGTTTAGGGCAAATTAATAGCTTTATTGTAGGCTTTATCAATGGGGAAAAGGAGGATTTTTACTTTTTCTTAGTACTTGACTTTTTTTTTATCTGCAAAGTCCCACAGCTCCTCCTGTAAACTCAGATGAACTGCATCCTGCTTCCACTGCCAGTATGCTTTTTTTTTTGCCTTCAGGCCAGCCTGGATATCCATGCTCAGCCATGAAGGTTTCTTGGACCCATTTCCTGCCTTCATGCGCAGAGGAATTGTGTCCTGCTGCGCCCCAAGGATAGCCTCCTTGAGGAAGGACCACCTTTCCTGGACCCCCATACTAGCTACCCCCTCAGCTCCAAGTGCCTCCCTGACTACTGCCTTGAGCACATCAAAGTTGGCTTTCCTAAAGTCAAGCATTTGCGCTGTGCTAGTTACCCTCCCCACCTTTCTCTGAATGGCAAACTGGATCATTTCATGATCACCGTCCCCTAGCCTCCCTTGTACTAGCACCTCCCCCACCAGGTCATCCCCAGAGGCTAACACCAGATCCAGTATGGTGTTTCCCCTAGCGGGGACGAGTACCTCTTGCACGAGGTGTAGGTCCTGTACGCACGTCAGGAACCTTCGTGAGTGGCTAGACCTGGCCGACTGCTCCTCCCAGCTGATGTCAGGGTAATTCATATCCCCCATGACCACAACATCCTTTGCATGCACGGCCTCCCCCAGCTGGCTGGAGAATTCCAGATCCAGCTCTTCCTCTTGATGTGGTGGCCTGTAGTAAAACCCTACTGCCAGGTCCCTCTTCCCCTGCCCTCCTTGAAGTTTGACCCACAGGGTCTCAGCTAAGCCTTCCTCTGGTCCCATTTGGAAGGTAGAAGTGGTATACTGTTCCCCAACATAGAGTGCAACCCCCCACACCTTTTTTTCCCCTTCCTATCTCTTCTAAACAACCTATAGCCCTCTATGTCTACTGCCCAGTCAAAAGTTTCATCCCACCATGTCTCCACTAGGCCAACCAGGTCGACCTTACTACTTGCAAGCAGGAGAGAAAGCTCCTCCTGCTTGTTCCCCGTGCTTCTTGCATTAGTGAAGAGACACCTTTAATCCCTCTGAGAGAGCCCTGGGCACCCCACTTTCTGAGAGACAACTGGTCCCTTGGTTGCTTGCTCCA